TCACACAACCCAGGGGCGGAGCCACCCATGGGCTAGGGTGGGCTCCAGCCCTAGGTAAATTAAAAAAAATAAAAAAAAAAATACTTTACATTTCAGAGTATTCTTGTATATAGCCACATGTAACGACGACAGACAGTGGTGGCCAGCAACGACGAAATGGTCAAATCTTCATTTCCATTTACTTTAAAATTAAGAGCCCATATTTTTTTAATTGTTTTTGTCAAATTATATCCAAGTTATTTTTTATGAATTAAAATAATTAAGATTAAAATTAAAGTAAGGGTATAACAGGTTTTCGCGTGAAAGAGGTGTACGAAGCAAGGTACGAGGCAACGTACAAGACAGTCACATACTTTATTGCATTATACATTAAGTGTAGGGTTGAGATTGAAGCTCTGATTAATCTTATGGTGAGATGAGAGTATACTATTACCAGGTATGTCCATAAGTAAGGAAGAGAAAGAAAATTATTTTTGTAAGTACTGTTTATTTGTAATTTTTTCATATACTTTAATTCTAAAGAAAAATTCTAAAATAACAAGTACTTTATATGAGCGAAATAAATATATATTAAACTATTATATATATATATATATATCAACTAAATAAAAAAGACAAAATTTATCAATGTTCAAAACTAATATTCTTGTATTAATTAATATTCCTTCATTGCTCTAATTTATATGATTTATCATTATATATTGTCATGCGCATCGTACCGACTACGTACTAGTAAATAAACGTAAGACATTACATATAATAAATATTTATATTTATTAAAAAAAATATAAGGGTGAATCATCAACGATTAGGCCACTATTATAAAAATTTATAAGTTCAATTATAGAACCACCCACCAATATCATGTATCTACACTTCCCACCAGTTCCCACTTCCTTTAATTGTGATTCATTAAAGTGAATAAATAAATAATAATAATAATAATAATAATAATAATAATAATAATAATAATAACCATAAGGTTATATACTTATATTCATACAGTCAAAGGGAGAAATTCAATCTTATTTATAGTAACAATTAATGGCATTTCATGTTCCATCTTCCTCAACTCATTATAAAGGCCAATTTTTAAATGTGGTGTTGACTATAAAGAAGCCCACTAGTACTAGCAGGGGTATTTAAGTTAATTCACCTTCCATGGCTCTCCACCTGAGCCACATCATAACAAATCTAGAAAAAATTTGAATGCAAACCCATGTTACCTTCATCGCACGTCTAATGAAATTGTAGCTTAATATTAGCGTGTATATAATGTTTTAGTTCTTAGTACCATAATAATAATAATAATAATAATAATAATAATAATAATAATAATAGGTGTCCTATATTGGTAATATTAGTTGTTATTATGTTTTTTTACTGCACAATATATAATTAGTCTTATATTGAATACACAATATTTTGTTCATAAACAAGTATTATTAGCTAACCAAGCAACCAAAAAAAGAGAATTTTAGTAGCTATGAATTGAATTGATTACCAACGTCTAGTAGCTGCTATTAACTATGGTTAGTTAATAAAGAGCAGTTAAGTCCATTCCGTTTGAGTTTTAAATTTTGGCCCTCTTTAAGCAATCATCATACATTATAATTAATGTCATATGTTATTGCATTAACACTATATGTATACTGCAAGGGTAAACTGCGTCAAACCCCCATGTGTTATAGGAAATTGGTGCGTTACTATCCTGTGTTTTAAAAAATGCATAATACCCCCTTGTATTAAAGTAACCGATGCACACGCTCCCTTTTTTTATTTGTCCAGTTAACGGAGTTAATTTTTTGCTGAAAACCCCGTTATACCCTCCGAATTTTTTATATATATTTTTGATAAATTGAATTTATCACGATATTTTGAAAATATCGCGATAAATTGGCTTAAAAAATTTTGCAGGCCATGAGGTTCGAACCCAAGACCTCATTGCTACCACCCCACCAGTCCAACTTGTGTGTTAGATTTAAGAACGTTAAATATATATAGACATTACACATGTACAAATCAAATTAAATTTAAAAGACAATGTAAATTATATTAAATACATTAACAAACTATAAACTTATAATAAATTAAAATATAATAAACTATGCAACATAAATTGAATAATTACAATAACTTATATGTATTTATACAAAAATTATAGTTAAAATAACAATATTTATTGTATTTTATTTAAATTATTTTCATCTACTTTGTTTTTATTATTTATTTTAAACTGTATTATTTCATATTATACTATTGAATTATTCATTTTATTTCATCTTATTATATCTTATTTTTCAAACTTTATTTATTTTGTTTAACTTAATACAATGATATAAAATTAAAATATATTTTACTAAATAAAATTTTGAAATTAAAATTATTTATTTCTATTTAAAATCATTTACTAAAAATAATAATTTT